AAAAAAAAAAAAAAAGGAAAGAAAGAAGGAGAATCATCGTCATCTTGAGAGAATGACAATACTCTACAGTTGCTGTACCCAATAAATTAATTTAGTACCAACTATATAGTGTAAATAATTGGTCATTTTATTAGAAAAGAAAGATACTTGCAATTTATTTAATATAAGCAAGTCAGATAACAGTAATAGGTCCCATTCGAAGGGAAGTGGGGGAGGTTTCATTTGCTCCCACTGGCTTTGGAGCTGAAAGACTCAACTCCAAATCAGGAGCTGTTACATTTGAAGAAGAGTTGAGAGATCCATATGCACAAAGGGAGCTGCTCGAATTCAGTTTCGTAACTATTCGAGAATTTTCGCATTCTTGATTATCCCACTCGTCTTGTCCAAATGAGTTCAGGTCTATCTGGGGCCGAATAGCATTATCTTGACCTATTTCCTGATTTGAATCTGTCTTTGAAGTAGCATTACTAACCTGTTCGTCAACAAAACCATGAAATCAACATCTATGCATTTAATTAAGTACATGTCTCAGCCCCATTTTTGGGCCAAAATGCATTTTCGAATAGCATTTTGTTGGAGAATGAATGGTTAAAAAATAAGGAAAATTTTTAGGTTTGCGTATAAAATTGTCTTATGGGAGTGTAGTTGAAAATGAGTTTTGAAAAAATAAATTTTTTAAAAAATGGGGTCAAACGTAGGTGCTCGACTTTTTCGACAAGATAATGAGTACTATATGTGTATCGAACAAGTCTGAGTTGTACGTATGAAGTTGAAGAAATGGATATGTACCATATCAAAGAGGCTGGACCGTTTCTTCTTCTTGCACAAACTGGTTTGCCGGAGAAAGTACTTTTGAGCATGACTCGCAACTTGTGTTGGAGTTCTTGTAGTTACAAAGTTTCTTGAAATTCCCCTCCAATCTCCTTTTCCTTGCTTCTCAAGCCCAATTAGGAAAGTCCGGTGTTCTTCTTCTGTCCATGGAATTCCTAGCATTAATCCAGTTAACAGTATCATCAAGGCCATTGAATTTTCATAAGGAAGAGTTGTTAGAGAGAATACAAAAGAGATGATTATTTCATAGAAGGGTAATAGAATAGAAACTATTCAAAGTAACTACCAATCTTTGTAATTAAAGCCATCAATGGCTTGTTCTGTGTGCAGCATTAGACAGAAATATTTGACAGTACAATGAATGACAATTTAACTTATTTTTCTTCTTTAATATTGTCTAACATTGTTAACGTCCCAGAAAGCGGGATAGGTATGAGAAGAATCATAGTTCCATATATATACCAGATATACCTTTCTTTCTTTCCTGAACTTGGGTTAAGTGACCATCGGAGAGAGAACCAATGAATGTCTTATCGGAATTTTCGTTGATTGACACTCGGGAAGATAACGAACAAGACTGGGAGGAAGATGACGTTGCTGCAGGCAACGAGGACGATGACAAGCAATCCAAGCTGAAGCATTTCTTGATGGGAATGGATGAAGGAGAAGATACTTCAAGCTGTACTCCAAACAGCCTTAGTCCAACATTAACAGACCCTCTAGAAATGGTACAAGTCCTTGAATTGTGACCTATGTGTCCACATTGTGAGCACTTTCTGCCCATTTTCACCAGGCAAAGCTCAATCTACACTGCCCCTTCCTCTGTGCCTGTAAGAGAGAGAGAGAGAGAGAGAGAGAGAGATTAGTTTATATGATTGTCACATGTGATATGTAGAGTGGGTGGGGTTTATGAAAACGTTTGCACACCAAGAGGAGATTATTGGATGGACTTCATTATATGTTCAGATATCTTTCCAACTAGGAATCTTACCGAAGAAACCAATAGCTCACTCTCCATATATATACACACAGATGGAAGAAAAATGATATTCATCCCCAGTCTATGTGGATGTAAATGATTGGTTAAATGATAGGTGAAATTAAATGACTTATTTAATTTCACCTATCATTTAATGCCACATTAACGCCATATAGACTGGGGATGCATCCCCAGTGAGGATGAATAGTTTCTCCCGATGTAATTGCTCCATCAGACTTTCTTCTATTTTCAAACACGAATCCCAAGTGATAAATGAAAGAACAATGGCCATACATCCCAAAAAATCACAGTTTTATCTTAAACCCTAAACTATTTTAACATGTTACGATTTATGAAAACATTACTAAATTCCACGTGTTCTTGTCTCCCACTAAAAAATAGGAAAGAAATGTCTTCCATATAAAATTATTAGATGTAACTAATATACTACTTTGGAGCAAAGGGGGATCCTTGAAGTGTTCCTTAATTAGTGTAGAATCAATTACTATATAAAAGTTTATTTCATTAACTAATTCCACAAATGCTAACAATCATGCATGTACAAAATACAATGAGAAAATTTAGGATTTACACAAAAATATAGTTTACTTAAATATGTTAAAATTGCTAGCAATTGATGACATTAATGAAAAGGCCCAAACCACACAATATTAAAACAAGACACAAAAGAATCGATCACAACAGAAACTAAACGTTGCAGAAATTAAAATGAACACAAGATATGTTTTGGCCTAAACCCCGGAGGTTCAGCGACCGGATCTAATGCCTGCATCCCCCGTTGAGCATCCATTAAATGGATAAATGCTCGGTTGCACTAATAAGCCCAAAATGACAATAATATTACAGATCGTTCTTCAAACCCTTTATTCTCGCAGCTATCACAAAAACAACAGATTACAGAGGTTTAACCACTAATAGATCTCAGTTTACAGGTTCATCATAAGGGATGAAGAACACGAAGATCTCTAACCCTAGTTACAAGAAGAGAGAAAGACTCAGAAGAACCTAGAAGAAACGAGAGAAGCCCAAAAGCCAAGATCGAATGAGAAAATATCTCGAGTTTGGTATATATATCACATACTAACAAACCACAGATCCAAGGGCCATCAAAAGACCACGTGTCACCATCAGAGGATAAGTTGCATTACTAAAAGAGTTGCTCTTTTGTAAAACACGACTTCAACCAATTTTGGAAGCACACATCACAGATCTGGGGTTCGAGCCTCAACAATTAATTAAATATTAATGGACTGTTTATGAACAAAACAAATAATTTAATAAATCAAGTTGAAATTTTTAATATTTTCGTAGATACATAATTATGGTGTGCCCCTTCTGTTTTCACTTTTCATTGATATCACAATCAGAATACAACTTGTGAGACAAGTACTCTCCAGAAATATGACAAGTGGTGATGAAGAGTTTATTGATGTTATGAAATGGATCGCAAGATAATGACGATAATAAAATAAAGAAGAAGAAAATAAGAATTTACGTGGAAACCCAATTCGGAAAAAAATCACGGGAAGAAGAGAACAATCCACTATAATCAATAGTTTTGTGTTTAAAATATCAAGATTTCAATGATCTCAATTGAAATTTAAACTCTCAATCTCTCAATATGTTGTTGAAAATATAAAAAATAATATATGAATGTTATAATAAGGAGATACAATGTGGCTATATATATAAAACCTCTTATTGGAGTTCAAAATGGATAATGAATCCAAAAAATTTGGAAAAAGGGGAAATCGTGAAAACATTATGTAACTGGGGTGATGAGGCGCGTAGCGTGGGCCCCCGCCTTGTTTTCCCCCAATGCGGCGCTGGGCCATTTGTCCCATTTTTCTTCATTTGGCCCTGCGGTGCCAACCCTTGGCTCTGTGGCGCCCGTCTCTCGGGTTTGACATTCTAAAACATGCCTTTAGCCATCCAAGAGTACTTCTTCAAGCTAAACTCCGAATTATCATTGAAATTTGATTTTCAATATATTAGAACTCTACAAACCCAAATATTTTAGACTTCCTCCAACCAAACAAATACCAAATCACATGGAATTTGGTTCACACTACAACAAATCTCCACCTTGAGCCAAATTCCGTCACAAAGAAGTAAAACATATCTTCAAGTAAATATCATTTCTCCTCTTCCAACCAAACCCCAATGGACTAAGTCAACGACAAACACCAACTAAGTTCAAGCAATGCTCAAACTTAAAAATGGGAAGTGGTTTTGTCATCATATCAGTATGATTATCCTTGGTATCAACCTTGCTTACTATAATATCACTACGAGCAATCACATCACGCACAAATGATACCTCACATCAATGTGCTTAGTCCTCTTTGAAACATCTGATCCTTAGTCAAGAAATTTGTACTCTGACTATCACAGAAAATTGTAGAAATCTGTAAGTCTTCACTGATTTCACCAATCAATCTTCTCAGCTACATAGCCTCCTTACATGCTTCTATAATGACCATATATTATGCTTCTGTTGTAGACAAAGCAATTGTATTTTGTAAAGTAGCTTCCAGCTGATAGCACAGCCACCAAGAGTAAACACATACCCTGTAAGCAATCTCATCTTATCTAGATGAATCCACATAACCTATGACTCTATCTGAATTTCTACCAAAATGTAAACAAGCATTTGAAGAGCCACTTAAGTATCTGAAGATCCACTGCACTTCTTTCCAATGTTCTTTGCCAGGATTAGCCATGTATCTACTAACTGCACTAACTAACTGTGCCAAATCAGGTCTTCTACAAACCATAGTATACATGAGCAAACCAACTGTACTGAAGTAAGGAACTAGAGACATATAATAAATGTCTTTATCTAACAGTGGACACAAGTTAGATGATAATTTGATGTGGGTAGCCAGGGAGTACTGACAGTCTTAACTTTCACCATATTGAATCTTTCAAGCGCCTTTTCAATGTAACACTTCTGACTCAAATACAATCTCCCAACCTTTCTATCCCTCAAGATCTCTATTCCAAGAATCTTCTTCGCTGCACCCAAATCCTTCATGTCAAACTCCTTGCTAAGTTGTAATTTTATTTTTCTGACCTCTACTTTATCCTTGGCTGTTATGAGCATATCATCAACATATAATAACAAATATGTAGTTGATCCACTACTTTCCTTTCTGAAGTACACAAAACTATCATAATTACATCTATCAAAATCATGAGTAGTCATGAATGAATGAAACATCTTATACCACTGCCTCGATAGCTGCTTTAGTCCATATAAGGATTTCTTCAACAAGCACACATAGTCTTCCTTCTCTAAAACTATGAACCCATCTGGTTGTTGCATGTTGATACTCTCCTCAAGTTCTCCAAGTAAGAATGCTGTCTTGACATCCATTTGCTCAAGCTCCAATTCATTCATAGCCACCATTCCAAGTAAAGCCCGAATAGAACTATACTTCACAACTGGTGAGAACACATTTGCAAAATCAACACCCGAAATCTCATTGTAGCCTTTTGCCACTAATCTAACCTTGTATCTAGCATCTTCAATCCCTGATGTGCCTTCCTTTCTTTTGGACAGCCATTTACAACGAACAACTCTTTTACCTTTAGGTAATTTCACCAAGTCCCAAGTCTTATTTTTGCTTAATGACTCCATCTCCTCCTGCATAGCAATCATCCATTTGCTAGAATCACTGCAAGTAACTAGCTCTGAATATGTAGAAGGCTTTTTGGTTGGGTAAATGTCTTTAGCCACACTCAATGTATAAGCTACCAAATTTGCTTCCCCATATTTCTATGAAGGTCTAATATGTCTGCGAGGTCTATACTTAGCTATAGAATACCATGGTGCTAGCGATGTTGGAAAATTAGGCAGAATATTACTGTCTATCAATCCTGAACTGGACTTATCAGTAGTAGACAGTTCTTCCATCTCTGATTGTTTCTCTGACCTAATTTCCAACTCCATCCGAGTTGAATGATTCTGCTCTTCAACTTTATCAGAATCCCTAAGAGGTGAACCACAGACCATAGCAAGTTCATCAAATACTACATTCTTACTAACAACCACCTTTTTAGTCTTAGGACACCACAACTTATACCATTTTACAACTGATTTATATTCAAGAAAAATGCACTTTATAGACCTATACTTCAACTTCCCATTATCTACATGAGCATAAGCCGGACACCCAAAAATTTTCAAATCAGAATAGTAAGAAAGTTTACCATATCATACTTCTTCTAGTATCTTTTTATCAATGGCAACTGAGGGTGAGCGATTAATTAGAAAACAATCTATAGTAGCAGTTTCAGCCCAAAAGACTTAGACAAACCAGAATTTGAAAGCATACAACGAACTTTTTCTATCAAGGTTTTGTTCATCCGTTCTGCCACATCATTCTGTTTAGGAGTTTCAGGTACTATCAAATGTCTCAAAATTCCTTTCAGCCTTATAGAAGCTATTGAATTCATCTGAGCAAAACTCCAACCCATTATCAGTACGTAGACATTTCACTTGCTTTCTGTATATTTCTCCACTAATGTTTTCCTCTCCTTGAAGGTCCCAAACACATCACTCTTCTGCTTCAAGAAGAATACCCAAACTTTCTAGAGAAGTCATCGATTACTGTCAACAAGTACTAATAGCCACCTTTAGATGGTACCCTGGCTGGTTCCTAAAGATCTGAATTGATATATTTAAGTGTTCCCTTTGTGTTGTGTCTTCATTTAACAAATTTGACTTTCTTCTGTTTCCCAAAGACACGGTGCTCACAAAACTCTATTTTGTTGGTCTT